CCTCCCATTCCGGGTGGAAGTCTGCAGTTGGAATCTCACCCCTGTACCCAGAGTTTTCAAAGTGTGCACCAGGATCCCTGTGAGTCTCTAGGACCCTTTCAGAAGGTCAGTGAGGTCAAAGCTATTTGTAATAATACCATGATATCAATTACTCAGTGGAGGTTTCCTGATAATCCAGAAGCAGGTGCATATCTAGTAGGCCAATCAGTAAAGAAAGTTACCAACTTGTGTAATGATGTTACTCCATTTCTCCTTTTTTGGAAAAATCAGTTTTCATAGAAGTGTAGTATTAATATTAATGGAAAGACTTACTGTTTTGTGTTAAATAAGTTGCAAATTAGAGTTTTAATATGGTTTTCAGTGCTAATTACTGTGTGACAAAACTCAATACAGAAACAATCCATATAAATCCCTTTGGGTTTTTCAATATTATTGGAGAGTAAACCAGTGGCCTGAAACTAGAGAACTTGCTGCTTTGGGACAGGTTCTGAAAAAGGGAATGGGGAACAGTGTACTCTTTAGCAACTTCTACCATTTACTGGGGAAAAGGCCTCTGAGTAGCCTAGTCCTAGCTGAAGGCTTCTGTCTAAACCTAACATTTCCTGGTCACTATCGTTCCACTTTCCTGTGAAAACCTTCGGTGGCAGACCACTCCTCCCACCTCACAAGGGGGTTAGGAAAGCCCTGCTCCCAGTCCCTCAGGGGTAATCTCTTCTTCAGCCTCAGAGAGTTATATCGTCAAGGGGCTTTCATGGCAGAAAAACTGGGCCTCACAAATAACTCAGTCTCTGATTTGCATTTTCCCTGTTTGCTAAAGATGTCGAACACTTTAAAAAGTGTGTGTCCTGGCCATTTCTGTATTTTCCAGATAACTGTCTTTTCAAATTCTTTGTCCATTTTTAAGTTATACTGTTTATCCTCCTGTTGCTGAGCCATGTTCTTTATACATTATGGATACATGTGCCTGAATAGATATGTGATTTACAAATATTTTCTCCCATTTTGTGGCTGCTTTTTCACTTCGATGATGTTCTCTGAAGCACAAAACTTTTTAATTTTGAAGAAGTCCAGTTTATCTACTTTATTCTCCCTCTTCATTTCTATAAATGCCATACCAATACTTAATCCAAGGTCATGAATATTTATGTGTATGCTTTTTTCCTAAGGGTTTATAATTTTAGCCCTTAGATTTGGGTTGACAGTTAGTTCATTTTGAGTTAATTTTTCTACACAGTAAGAGGAAGCATCCAACTTCATGCTTCTATGTGGCTATGCAGTTGTCCCAGCATTACCTGTTAAAGAGAGAACTCAGTGTCTCTGGGCCTCAGTAGCCTCATGAGGGTTAAGAGACTACCTTACAGAGTGCTGAGTGTATTTAATGAGATACTGAGGGAAACTCTCTGTGGAGTCTTTGGCATGGACGTGTCAATGCCTATAACCAAAGTGGTTGGCAGTAGATCTAAAAGTGTCTGAAACACTATCATCACTATTATTTGACCAAAGCTTTTCCACTGCTGAAGGTCTATGCCTCCCCCCTAGCTTGTCATACTGGCTGTCCTGTCCTCAAGGCACTGGTTTGCAATCTCTTTCCCAGAAACTCCTCTTCTGAGTGGCCTGATAATCTCTTTTTCTTCTCTCCTTCCTTACTTTCTGCCTTAATATCTGCATTACAGATTTTTGGTCTTCATTAATTAATTAATTTTAAATCACTAACCCAGTCCAGTGTTTTCTAGCAAAGGGTTGGGAAGGTATGAATAAATGAGTTGATCAATTCCAAAGCCAATTGCAAAGATTTGTAAAGTGAAGCTCCTAGAGCACCCATGGGTGGGTATAGGGCTAGGCCAGGGACAGGCCTGTTTGAGCCTGATTGTTTATACCTGTTGGTCGCTTCCCCACCCAGGAGAGATGCTCTTAAATCACATCTCCCTCCTCCATGGTGTTTGCAATACCTCCTGACTTAGTTTTCTCTCTGAATGTCATTAGTGTCCCATTTGTCTCCTTTTCCTGATCTCCTAGGCAGGTGTTATACAGGAGGAGGCAGAGCTGGCAACAAGAACTCCTGCCACTTGACAGTGGGGCAAAGGGGACACACAGTGGGGGAGGAAAGGGGGCCTTGAGCTGCAAATCCAGATGGAGCTCTGGTCCACTCAGCGCAGCCCAAGAGAGCAGGGACAGTCCAGGAAGAGAGCACAGCATGCAACGAGTAACAGTGAAATCCAGTGTTCAATTATTTGTTCATTCATTCTCTTACTCAACCTGGACCCTGCATGTGCCAGGCATGAGGGCACTGCAGGGAACAGCACAAAGTAAGTCCCTGCCCTTGTGGAATTTGTTTTCAATGGGAGAGGTGAGAAATAGACAAACTTATCTAGTAATGTACCACGTGGATAAATGCTAAGTACAAAAGTTCAAACAGAAAAGAGTCTCAGGAAGACCTGGGCTAGGAGGACCATTCTCTCACAAGGGAGTCAGGAAGGTCCTGCCCTTGCTCCACCATACTCCTTGCCATTGCTTTGACCTTTTAGCCTAACTGTGCTCTGCTCACTTGGATGGTGATTTCCAGTCTCTTTGCTGCTGCTCCTCAGCTGGAAAAGTTTTCCCTAAGACTGGAAAAGGCTCCGTGCTTTGTGCCCTGAAACGGGAGTGTGTTTATGGTTTACGGAACAGTAAAGAGGCCCTGGTGGGACATGGTAGGAAGGAAAGGTGCAACCTGTAAATCGTGGTAGAAGTGGAAGGGCCTTAAGATGGGGAGACCCGGGAGGGTTCTGAGATGGGAGTGATGTGACCTGGGAGATGCTTTGACAGGTGCATCCTCATGAAATGGCAGAGGGGAAGAAGCAGCAGAACTGTTGCCATAATACAAGACTGAGGTGGTGGCTGGGACCAGTGTAGGGACAGAGGAGGAGCTAGAGAAGGGAGAGAAGTGATTGGTCAGTATCAACACAGCACAGAGTGATGGGCACTCTGTGGGCAGAATGATGGGAGATGAATTAAGAGAGAAAAGATATCAAATATGTATGTTGTTCCAACATTCCCCAGAACGTCTAGAGAGAAGAACCTGTCCATGCCAAGGCTGAGATTTAGCCCCATCCTGTCAGACTTGGATCCTTCTATCTAATAGTTTTGCAAAAATGTTTCCTCTCCCTTCCTTGGTTTGGATGAGTTCAGCAAGCCTCACTCAAGCCCAGCTCTGTGGGTAGCACCAACATGCGGATGGACAAGCCTCTCACTGGGCTCCTAGAGGTTCCCCACAGGTGGGACACACGTAGGACATTAGGGAACCAGGGGTGGGGGCTAAAAAGTCAGACAAGGACTAAATATGAGAGGAAGAGACCACATCTCCTGGGTTGCAGATTTATTTTAACTTTCAAGTCATGATTGCCCATGAGCCTGGATGGGAATGAAGGGGGCCTTCAGCTTTCCCCTCACTTTGCTGCACCACACTCCATTTTCTTATCTTACAACTGCCTCATGAGGCCGTGGGAGTTAAGTGAGTTGTATCCATCAGGTCCTCTGCCCAGTGCCTCAGTAAACACGACCCCGTTTTACCTGTCCCTCTCCATGAAAAGCTAAAAGTCTTAGAGGATCTAGGAAGGAGCAACATAAAATAGAGAACCATCTACCCCCATGTGGGACATTCGTCTATCTCAGTGTGAAGTTGCACAACTTCAGGCGGATAGCAGAGGTACCTTTACTTTTGTGCTTTGCTGGCCTGTGGTAACTATTCATTGTGACTGTGGAACAGATCAGCGATTGAAGTAGGGGTGATATAAGGTCCAGGCCTCAGCGGTTCTTAGTTGTGAGACCTTGGACAAGAAAGTTAATGTTTCGGAGCCTCAGTTCCGGACTAAAAAGGTAATAATAATAATATGTACCCTGGCAAGGATAGGTAGGCTCATAGAATACGCATGTCTTTCGCACATCCCCCAGCGCTCTAGAAATCAGATAGGGTTCACAAAGACTAGTTTGGGCCAGTGGGCTGTGTATCACATCTAGATGGAAGCATTTGACAGCCAACATCTTCCAGCTATTTCTTCCTCTGTTGCAGAGACCATGGTGGCCATGAATTCCAGGTGATACATTTATAATAGAGCAGAGCTTTCATCGGCCTGGTCCCTGAGTCCCTAAGCAGAGCAGAGCTCTTCACATATCTGGGTTAGACCTATAGCCTGTGTAAGTAATATAAATTTGCTGGGTGAAGCCACTGAGATTCTGGAATTAATGTATTACTGCAGCATAACATATTCTAACAAGACTCATACTTCACCTTGCAAGATTGCTCAGAGGATAAGAAACAGGACTTGGCACAAGCAAGTGCACAGTAGGTCTCTTACCCAGTTCTCTCTCCCTTTTCCTTCCTCTGCTTCCTTAGCCTCCTTCACTGTGGCCAGTCTCCACTTGGAATTCCATCCCTCTCTGGGCCACCTTCATTCTCGCTGGAAACATTGTTCGTCTTTCCCCAAACAATCCGGGGGTTTCCTACTATTTTGATTTTTGCTATTATACATAGATATGAAGAAAAGCTTCCAGAGAGCCCTCTGGCCCCTGAACCACTTTCCTCCCCACAGCCTCTCACTCACTTCTTTCCACTCCTTTCTCAAATGTACTCTGATCTCAACATTAGCTTCAGGTCCTTCATTCTGGTTTCATGGACCCTAGAGTGGCCCTGATGGCCATCACTGGCTCTGTAGTCCTGGATCTAATTCTGTCTCCCTGCTGCTATCACCCCACTACACCGTTGATGGACAGCAGATTGCTGCCATTCTGCCCTACAGTGATGGCTACCCGCTTGGTTTCTGGCAGCCTTTGCCCCCTACCAGTCTTCCTCTGCACCTGGTCCCTGAGAAGTCCACTGCCATTCTTGCCTGACCTCCACTTTTTATGCTGCCTAGGGGCAACAGCCTCCAGACAAATGTTTTCAGATTCTAAGATGCATTTCTCATCAAGGGCCACAGGTTTGCAATTGGTGCCTGAAAATCAGGGCAGATGAGGGGACTAACCTGGCTCCATGTCAGCATGATCAGAAAAGTCAACAGCATCCACGGGCCCTGCAGCACTCTCTCCACGGCCATCAGATCTTGGAGGACAGGGAGGGATCCTTTCTGCTGAAGCAGAGAACAAAGAGTGGACTGACTCAGATAACAAGATGCCCCCAACATTTCCTCATGGGCCTCTCTGGTAGTCATTATCTATGAATATCAACAGAGAAATGGTCCATAGTAACAAAGAGAAGCAAGTGAGGCTCTAAGTTCCCAGCAAACCCCACACAAATTTATCCTCTCTGCAGCCTCACTGAGAGGCTCAGGTGTGCCTTCCTCCTTTCTGAATCTCTTGCAGTGGGACTAACGGTCTTATCTTACAGTCATCACTTGCCTGTGTGTTTTCTCAAGGGCAAGGAATGCAGACCAAGCCTCTGTGCAACCAGGTGCACAGTGTGGGGCTTGGAGAAGAGTAGGGGCTGAGTATTTGATGAATAAAGAGTTGATTGTGTGCTGTGATGAGGGTGAAGGGGGTGTGGGCCATGGTGCAGAGACCCAGGGACAAGCAAGTCACTTTTACTCTCTTGGATACGAGGACTGACCCTGTGAAATGGCCAGGATTCCCCGTGATGCACCATGCAGAGTACTGACGTCACCTGGGCAGGGTTCTTCACACAGCTGAGTTCTGTTCTGGTCCTCCTGCCTACTACAGCTTTTGGCAAATCACCTCCTCTTTGAGCCTCAGTTCCTCATCTGAAGGAGGAAAACAGTGAATTGGGCAACGCATTGGATCCTTCCTGTCCCTAGAAGTCTACAACTATGAATTTGACTCACTGCAGTATCATTGACATACAAGGGGATGTCTTTATACAATAAAGGCTTGTCAAATAAACATAGTATCAGAATCTATCCCCCTCAAAAGAAGGGTCAGGAGAGGCTCAAAATTTTTAAATTGTTTGTCTTAGGTCATTCATTTCAAAAATTCAAGGTCCACACACTTTCCTGGTACCACCATTAATACACAATATGCCTTCTTGTACAAAAGACCCACAGGCAACAGACTAGGGCATGAAAGATATTCTTAGTTATCTGAGGTTCTGTGCGTGCGTGCGTGCATGTGTGTGTGTGTGTGCGTGTGTGTGTGTGTGTGTGTGTGTGTGTGTGTGTGTATGAGCGTGCGCGCATGTGATTCATTATCTGAAAAGTTCCCTGAATACACATTTGGCAAACAGACCTAGAAATTTAGCTAAGAAGTCATTACCATTTGATTATTGTCTGTTATCAGCTTAGGAATTACTAGTAATCCTCATTAAAAAATTTCTTCTAAGTGTGAAATTTTGCTAGCTTCACCTGTACTTCATGTGTTTCTTTATTGTAAATTCTCATTATTCTAAACAAGGAGTAACTCTATTAGGCAGGCACATTTATCACCAGTGCTGGCTCCCTTCTCTGCCCTCAGGGGTCAGGTCTTGAACACTCTGGGGCAGAAGAGCTAATGGGCTGGGACAGTCATGAGACAAAGACAAGAAGAAAACCTAGAAAAGTCCTTATAATTTGTATTGTACTCGAGAAAAATATAGTGCATTAATTAGGATAAAACTATTATTTGAGAATCTCAAATGAGCAATAATGGGTATGGTACCTTTAATTTCTGATTACCATGCCTTGTTCATTAGGAGTTCATCCCCCAAGTTTGAAAGAGAACAGGCAACTGCTCCACAGGCAAAGTGACAGGTCTTTCTCTTGTGCCTAGGACCTAGATCTGTTGGCTTTGCCCCCAGGGGTCTTGCTGGGATCCTTGTCATAGCCAGCAACTTGGATATTTGATCTTGAGGGAAATGTTGGCCAGGTCATGAAATTCCACTTCACATCCCAGAGCTTCAAGTGAGTTTTGTGTGTGGGCTTCTCACCTGCACCTCACCCCCCAACCCCTAGAAGAAGCTGCAAAACTATAGAATTTTACTTTTCTTCCATCTTCGTCTTGGCTATGGCTTCTGGGAAAACTTCAACTCCTTTTCTGATCGTTTCCTTCAGTTCTTACCTCCAGATTCCCTCTATTTCAAAGTACCTGCAATAAGCATTATGATGGATGGTAATAAAACCCAAATACTCATGGGTTACTGAAATGTGTTAGAAGTATGTATGTGCCAGCACTCCACTAAGGGAGAATCTGGTGAGGAAGGAATTATGGCATTCATTCATTCATTCATGAGTGTTGGGTGTTGTGCAGGATATACTGAGGACTCAGAAACAAATCCTTCCTGCAGAAAGCTCATAAGCTATCAAAGAAAACAAGGCATGGTGACAAAGAACTAGTAGAACTGGCAGTTTATAACAGAGATACAGATAAAGTCTAGTACAAGACAGTGGATGGAGACACCATCTTGTTGACAACTCAGGAAGGACTTACTGGACAGTGTATTGGTTATGCTTGGCCTTGCACCACTGGTGGCATTCAGTGTGGTTAGGGCACTCCACATGAGGGAATAAAAGCATGGAGAAGAAAGCATAGCAAAGGGTTAAGTGTGTTCACATTCCAGTTTGTGAGCCATGTACAGGAAAGTAAAGGACATAGCAGTGATGGACTGAGAGCTTCAATAGGAAAGTCCTGAGGGTCAGGTCTGAGAATGACCATTAGTTAGTAATAGGTAGTCACTGAGGGCTGTTGAACAGAGACATGGCATAACTGGAGATCTGCTATAGGAAGCCGAAGTTGGCAAGCCTTGCTCAGTAGGAATTGAGAGGAAAAGCCTTAGGGGCAGTAAGCGCCTGATCCTGTGCTAGGTAGGCATGAAGAGGCTGTCAGGGGCTCTGATCTTATTGAACATTATCTTTTCTGACTTTCTGATGAGGAAAGGCAGCTTTGGAAATGCTAAGCTGCTTGTCTCTAATCCCCCAGCCAGGAAGCAATGGAGACAAGATCTGAACCCTGCTCTTTTCTTTTTAGGTGAACCATAAATCACACTGTGACCATGAACTTGACATCTGTTCACCCTTCACACCTGCCTTCTGTTCTTAGGGCATCACCTTCCTGCTCTGTATGCAGTGTGATCAGTTCTGGGCTTCCCTGAGGAGAGCCTGGGTGGGATTAGCACGTAGCATTGGGCTTGCCTTGCCTTCTCCCAAAGCAAACACCCATAGAGACAGTACGACACTCCTGGAGTTGGGTCCCAAACAGTACCGAATATAGTTCTTTGCAGAATATCTCAAAAGTTCAGGAAACTATCCTCTTCTCTGGTGAGGAGAACTCACCTTCACAGTTCCCATCTCAGCTAAGCCATGAACAGGGGGCACTCAGGGACCCAGAAGGATGTCCTTTGGATATAAATGAACCTGTGGGGTTAACATCCATGTTGCATGACATCAAGAAGAAAGCCAGCATTTCTCTGACAGACCACAGACCTTCAGCCAGAGGCTGACCTCGCTATTTAGGGAGGGGTCCCCAGTGCACTCTCAAAGCACTGCATCTGGATCTCTGCACCTGCAGGTTGGAGGTGATGATTGTGAATCACACCACCAAGACACTGACAGTTAAAGCTTCAGGTTTCCTTTCCTTTTTTTTTTTTCTTGAGTAAAAAACAGATTTCCTCATTATAAACATGGAGCATGACTATAGCTGTGCTATATACTTGACAATCAAGGGTACACATTGTCAGAGAGGAAGCCCAGTATAGGGGCAAGAGAAAACTGAGCAGGTCTGAGTGACACCTCAGCCTGGGACAAACCACTCAGCTTCTTATGTCTCCTTATTAGTAAATGGGAATGAAATAATGGTTTACAGAAAGTAAGTAAGTACCAGACCCAGAGTACATACACAGTAAAGCACAGTGTGATAATTCCTTCTGGTCATTTGATAGTCGACATTCTGGATATTCGTTTTTGTCATTGAGGTTGCTGTACTCCTCACAAAGTTACCAACTGAAGAAATGAATGTTGGGAGAAGAAAAATCTAAACCTATAGCAAGTTGTTTATGCCCTTGACCCTGCTCTTTATGACTAGTGTCTAGCAATTACTTGTCTTCATATCTTTCTTTCCAGCAGGATAGGAGCTCCTTGGAGAGTGACCGCTGCCTTCCAATTCCTAATGCTATAGTGTTGTCTCATTCCACACTGGCTTCCTTGAGATCCAAACAAACCACAGAGTCTGTAGCTCTTGTGGGATTTTCTATTCCCAGTCTGGCTTGAAGAGTGACTTTAAGTAACACCTTCAAGAACAGATCCAATCCTCTGAAATCTATCTCATTATCATGTAAATCATTAGCACAAAATACTTCACCTTGTTGCTTTGCTAAGAGCTTTGGTTTCTAATCCAAGCCAATTATATGTGCCAACGTATTCAATAACATCTTAATAATGCCAATCCTCCCAGCTTTCTGGACAGAATCTGACCAGGGTGAGTGATCTGGGGCCAACGCGATACTGAAAGTGGGTATAATGAGAAGCATCTAAACTGGATTCAAATTCTCTCTTGTGCAGTGCAGGCAACCCAGCATGGTGCCTGGGGTCAGGGTAAATGCTCACTCAGTGAAGGTTAATTCTCTTCTCTTCCCTGACTCCAAAGAAAAGCAAAGCCATAAAACTTGTTACAAGTAAACAGTGAGAGGAGAGAAGATCCACCACATTCCTGACTTCATTTACAATGCGGATTTCTTTTTTAAAAAGCTTTTGTCTCTACGGATGGAAAGAAGCAGTTTGTTTCATTTTAATTATGGCGGCTGCAGCTGCTGCTTGTGGACTCCAAGACCAATTTTCAGATTGCAGAGAAAACACACACAGGCACACCCACACAAAGTCTCAGCGAGAGACTCAATCACGTGTACAGAATGGCACTTCCTTCAGAGCATGTTAGTGGGGTGGAAAAATCTGGGACGCTTTGCGTACAGACCCAGGTGGAAATCCCCATGGGTGTGCGCCCCCCACCACTCATCTCTCTGCCCTGACTTGTGAAGAATAGCTCCTGTGCTACACTGGTAATGGAATGTTCATGTTGGGCAGCTGCACAGCTTTAATGTACACATGGGGACATAAAGGCAGCAGATGGCTTTATGCAATCTTCCTATGAATTTTTAACTGGGTGTCCTCATTCACGAAGGAATGAAGAGGGTTTTTGCAGGTACTCAGTGGGG